TTTTATAACTTAATAAAAAGAACAGCTTAGGTAAGCTAACTAGACTTAGAATAATACAAGGGTGCCAGGATGCAGAGCTAACAGATAATATTTGGAATTATAAGTAAGAACTAGAAAAAAAGAAATTTTGGAGAAACAATTTAGCCTATTATACAATAGCTAAAGCAAAAGAGATAAGTATAACTATCAAAACTGAGAATGCTTTATGAAAAGTATATAGATACAGAAACAAATAAGAGACATAATAGAAACTAAAACATGGTTAACAAGCAGTAGTATAATAAACAAATAGGGACTGTTATATGTAAGCCAGCCTATAGATCCAAAAGGTGAAAATCTAATTACATAGAGGCAACTCAAGTGCCACCTAGGACTGTCATGCAAAGAAAAAAAGGCCAGATGGTTTGGTAAAATAGAAAAAAAACTGTTAGTAATGCAAATAAACAGAGAAATCTATAACAATTATAAAACAAATGAATACAATACTCAAGCATTAAAGATTAAATAAACAAAGCTGTCAGAAGATTGAAGAAAAAAAGAATGAATTATACATGGTTTAAAGCATAACCAATGACTTAGCAGAATAGTCAAAAAGAAGAGGAAAAAGATACTAACAGAGCACTGGTTAATGAAGAAAGAAGAAGAAAAAACAACTACAAAAATAAGTAAATGCAGAGGTTGTGAAAACAAATCAGAACAGACAACAGTCAATTGTAAAAAATAAATAAGACATAATCATAACATAAAGGTGATTCCAGAAACAGTAATTGAAAAGAGCAATAACAAGATTAATGCAACACTTGAACAGATAACAGACAATAAAACAATAGAAGATTGGAGAAAAAATAAAAGAAACTTAATAGAATTAAAACAAATAGAAGAACTAGAGATAGAGTTAATTAAAAAACAAGGCCTAAACAATGAAATTGCAAATCACTTAATAGAAATCCTAGTAAGAAATAAAAGAAGAAACAAAAACAAATATACTTTCTATACAGATGGTGTATTATATAAAGAAAAAGCAAAAAAGAGTATAGGAAAGATGGGTATTGGTTGGATGCAACTGGAAGATGAAAGGACTGACCAGAAGAGGAAGTAGCATTAGGATTTGAAAGATGGCCTTCAGCAACAATAGCAGAATTGACAGCAATATGGTCAACAATTCTAACAGTACCAGAGAAGAAAAATATAGAAGTATATACAGATAGTATCACAGCATTAAAAAATATTAGTAAAGCAATTTAATGTGTAAGGGATGAAAAAATTCTCAAGAAGAAAAATGCAATGTGGATAATGAACATTACAGATTTAATTAAAAGCAAGAACATTAAAATAAAAATAGATAAGATTAAAACTCATAGTGAAGACAAGTAGAATAATAGAGCAAATTTACTCACAAAAAAAAGAGCAAACAGCAAAGAAATAATTAAAGTGGAAGAAATCAAATGCAATAGAATAGAGTATCATATAGAATGGAAAAACAAAAGGATCGATATACCAATATAGCTCTTTTGTAAAATAATTATAAATGCTAAAATTGGAACTAGATGGCAAGAAACAAATCCAATTAAACTACTAAAGCCAGAGACTGAACAGACACTACATAACTGGTTAAGCTTCTGAAAAGAAATGAACAGAACAAGTAGAATACATTGCATATCAAGAAGACTTAGTACAAGAAGAGCTACAGCAATCAAGTGTATAATGGACAATCTATCAACATTAGAAGAACTAAACAGAAGAAAACCAGAAATATACATAATAGCAGACTGTCAAGTCTGTCAAGATGGTAAAATAGAAACCCAAGCACATATGGCAAGCTACAACAAACAAAGAAGTCTATGGAAATGGATCCAAAAAGTTTCAGTAACAACAATATAGAATGGTCTCAAAAAAAAAAAAAGATAGAATCCTACTACAAGTGCTATATAAGACACTCTTTGGAGAGACAGAAGAAGAAGAAATTAAGAACAGAAAAGCATTGATAAAAGAACTCACAACACTAAAAGTTAAAAAAAAACTTGAATATTTGTTAAACAAAAATGCAACACAGAAGTGTATAGATATAGTAACTAGAACAGCATAGAACATCTTTTATGACCAAGTATAGAAAATTTGATATGAAAGAGTACAAGAATAGGAAAAGAGCTTCAATATAATGAATAAAATGAAAAAAAATAATAAAGGAAAAGGAAAATGAAAAGGAAAGAAGATAGAAAGTAAAATTTCAAAAGAAGATGAAAAAGAAAAGAAAACAGAAAAAGTAAAACAAATGAAGAATAAAGCATTAAAGACAATTAATATGCTTGTCACAGAAGGGAGAAGATCTTTCTGGTATGGCTTTAAGTTGTTAGATGAGCAGTCTGTCTCTAACTAAGATAATGCAGCAAGTTGCACTTAGGTACCATTAGGGTAACCAAGTGATGCTAAACTTAAGTATTAGAAAATTCTATATAATTATGTATATATATAGTTTCAAAAATCTTAATAAAGTATTAGCATAACTGCTTAAGGTTAAAAAAAAAATAATGCAATGTTTTGATTTTTTTTTTTTTACTTATATATCTAACTTTACTTTGACTTTTAATTTTTCTTCATAATATTAACCAATTGTATTCTTCTTTTTTCTTATTTGATAACAACTTAACAGTTATATAGAAAAAAAGACTAAATATTAAATTAGACAACATTTATATATATAGAAGTCAAATATTATTTATCTGATATAGATAGAAATTAGAATATTTAAATAGGTAATCTTCTAGTAGATTATAAGTATGACAACTAGTGTAGAACCTGTAAGCAGACTACTTAAATAAGCAACCAAAAGTTACATATGTGACTAATTGCATACTTACCTTGTACAACTTATATAGATATAATTAAAATACAATAAAAATAATAGCTGCCATAAACATTGGCTTTAGCAAAAATAAAAAAAAAATTTAAATCTGTTTTTATATTCAATAAATCTAGATTTTTTTTTCTTATTTAGATATAAATATAGACTGCTAAATCTTAATATAATTTGTATTTTTTTTATCTTTAATATTTTGCAATATACTAAAGAGAATTGTTATTTTCACTCTTATTTTTGCTAATGCCACCCTTCTAAATACAAAAAAATGCTCTAGAAGAGATATAATTATTAAGTAAACTTTTTTTGGTATTAATTAAAGTTGTTTATTAGATCTTTTTGATTCCAATAGTTGTAAAATCATTAAGATCGAACTAGTGGTTCTTAAAATATTTATACCTAAATTTTATAATCTTTAATTCACTTTTAACAAAGAACTACCAGTTTAATTTTAATAGTTTTACTATCATTAGGACCGGAAAGGTCTAATAAACAACTTTAATTAATACCAAAAAAAGAGGTATACTTAATAATAATATCCTTTTCAGAGCACTTTTATGTATTTTGGAGATGGCATTAGCAAAAATGGGGGGTGGAAATAGCAACACTCTATACTAAATTGTTTTTTTTAGATTTTATTATATAGTTTAAAAAAATTTTTATATTAATTGTTTTCTATTACACTTATTAATAATAATTCTTGATTAATTTACAATCTTATAAAATTTTTTTTCAAATCTTTTATATTTAACTGTAAGTATAAGTTTGTAATCTGCTTGCTAATCTCAGTAAAAGGCTTTGTGTCTTGTTGATTATACTCTTTAATAACTTTGTTGTTTGAAATATCTAATGAAATATATCAATTAGAAAAATTTTATAAAAGAGAAATTCTCAAATTACAAGACTATAACAAATTCCTCACCAGAATACAAAGAAATTAAAGAAAGCAAAAGAAACCAAATATCTTAGAATATTTCCAAAGACATAACGACATCGAATATATGACCTGCTTGGAAAAGCACCAACATTTCAAAGACTCAAATTAACAACAGTATTACCATGGCTAAAACGACACCAATTCAATTACCACATACAAAGAAAACCTACGTACAATAATAATTCTCTAATAGAATATGGATATATTAAACTCTAGCCATTTACTAACTACGGCCATACAAACGATACAGAAAATATAATTGAACAATACTCCGATTATCTACTGAATAATACTGGAAGAACAAATCAGATCACCGGCAAAGCAACCGGACCATCTAAAGCATAACTGACCCCTATTTGACATATATAATTTATATGTAATTGACACACCCTAACCTGGGTATGTTGATTAGACTACGTATTATTTTATCGGTAGTAAAAATTTTCGGATTTTGGAGTATTTTACAATATAATGATTTGTATATATTAGATAAATAATCATTAACTTTTCCTAAAAAAATCTTTACATTGATGAATTTGGAAACGAAAATCTAAAAATAGTACTTGCCGAGGTACTATGTACGTAAAGTATTTTGAGTTGTAGTAAATGCTAGTCTATACCCTCAATTGTAGCCTTGATTATGTCGGTATTTTGGTCGTCTAATTCTGATTAGCGGTCTGATTCACTTTTCTATAGAGGTAAGAATGAGTTTAATGCACTGCTTTATAATTACCTCATTTGTTATTTTTATATGTCGAAATCCATTTCTAAGCAAAATCACTTAATTAGAGTTTCGAAGATACCTGAGATATTTAAAGTTTCATTTGTAAAGAGTCTTAACGTTTTAGACTGTATAAATTCAACTGAATAAATTGACAAATCACAAAAAAGTTACCTTGTATCAATAATGGTTTTGGTTCGATTATCGGACTACCATGTAGTCGTCCGGAGCACACATTTTTAATACGTATGTAAAAATTTCCTATGTCCAAACTAGTCGCGGCTTTTACCCTGTCGTAATATAATTTCGATTTTGCAGTTGTTTAGAAGAAATTAAAATCCGATCGAGATTGACGTCAATAGAATTAATAATTTTATTTTGTCATCATATTTTAAAGAACGTGACAAAAATCCATCATAATTACTAAGTCACATCAACTAAACTACTATTTTTAATCATACTAACAATTAATAAAGGCCAACATTATGCAGGGAAAAAACAAAGAAAGAGTCGTTGAAAGAATTCTTGATCACAAATTCATTAATGTAAGTTCTATGACTGTAACGCATTTTTCTGGGACCAAATTTATGACTTTTTTTTTGTAGGGAAGTGTAAGCTACCTGGTCAAATGGCGTGGTTATCCAGATGAAGAAAACTCATGGAAACTTCAAGATGAAATGTAAGTAAAATGAAAATGTGCTTCAAGATAATCACGACTTAATAAAGAACATAACAATAAATGATCTTTTCTAAAGAATTAAGTATGCAGAGTTACTTGAATATTATTGGGAACATTTCGACAGCCATCCGACAAAGTCAACATCCAAAGAAATACCAACAACAACAACAGATTCGGCTTTGTCATCCAAATCTATTGCCGAAGCAAACTCTTCAAAAATAGTTGATAAATCGAATTCCAAAACTGTTAACGTGAAAAAGAAACAGAATGAAAGCAATAAAATGGATAAAAATTCTGAAAAGGATCATTTAGGGGATAATATTCCTCGATTTTATGAACCAGATTGGGATTCGCATGTCGAATGTATTGAGACAATTTATCGTGACGAATGTAGTAAAGATATCTTGGCTATAATAAAATGGTATTCGTTTTTTTAATCATGAAGGTTTGTTTTTTCGAGACGAATAAGTTATTTTAATTTATAACTAATTTAGGAAGTCTCATAAATTGCGAACTTTGCATAGCATTGAAGAAGTTAAGCGTAGATGCCCTCAACAAGTAATTAACAATGTTTATGCTATCACTATGTATATCTACATTATAGTAAGGATGCGTTTGTTTCACTGCAGGTAATTCAATACTACGAAACTAATTCTCGCTTCAAGGACCATTGATATTTGCTATATTTTTGTATCTTACGTATATGTAAGGATCGACATTTTTACTATATATGGATATAATAAATTACCTGGATAAACGGGTAATTTAATAAACGCACCCGAGTACGTAGAATTTTCTCGGCGGGTACATGATATAGATATAGAGTTTACGCCTCATGCAGTGCAATTTTATTTTGAATACATATCATCATTGGTTGTGCAAATAACCTGAAAATGATTATGAATCGACAAACTCGGCCGATTATGCGCAACTACGTATTGTAACATACAGCCACATCACGTGAGAGGAATATCCGATTCTGTCGAGAAAGACCTGGAGGAAAAATCCCATGTCGTCATCGATAACAATATTACATGCTCATTGTACAGCAGAGACCGTTAATGTTACACGTATATTGAAACTAGTGAGGGATTATATCCATCACAATTGAATCCAACATAAATAATTTAATTTGTTATCGAGAGGGATTCACTTTGGATCGGGCACTGTCTCTGCTGTATGCTCATTGTACTGTAAAGTATGTTGTAAGACACATGAGCTTCTGGATGAGTACTTGTAATAGCATCACGGAATACCTCGGTTTCATTAATTGTCACGGCTGAAGTTGGAAACGACTGAAGCTGAAGATTTAAATATTTTAGTATTAAATTTTTGGGACGCATATTTCCACCATGACATTTTACTATTTCCACCACTGGCCGTAATTTATCATGACTATATGTCCGTCGTGTTTATGTAGCTGAAAGTCATGTGAAAAACATGGTAGAGATAATAAAATTTTGTGGTGGAAATAGGCGTTTCCCAAATTTTTTCGGTGTGCATGTTTTTTAGCCTTTTCCTTATACAGTGAAACCTCCATAAGTACACCCTCTATAAGTGCACACCTTCTCTAAATGTACGCTTAAATTCGGGCCCAAATATATACATGACCTCCATAAATGCGCTTTTTCTTATTATTCTCTAAGTGCACGTCGTTAAAGTTTGGTCCCAAGAGCTGCACTTAGAGGGGTTTTACTGTAGTTAGGTTAGGATTTATGGTGAGTGTTAGTTTGATAATAAGTGGATTTTGATAGGGTTTATATTTTGAAATCGAGGCCAGCTTCAGCCGCAGCTTTAATGTACAGGCAGTAAAATTAAAATAAAGGATGGTATGCAAAGAATATAGGGAGAGTAGTGTTTTCTCATTGTGATTTTAGATACTGTCAAAACAAGGTCTGCCCACACCGCGTGACCACAGTATCAATCTTACGCAATTTTTCCAAATATCTGGTGTCGCGTTAAACATGAAATTTTAGTTCATCCTGGTTGTATATGTCCTCAAACAACTCGTGAGAATCTTTTTTCGAATGAATCCAAATGTGGAAAATTAACGAAATAGTAAATATAAATAAATGCGTAGGTAAAGGAATTGCAAGTTGCCATAATCCTTTCTTTTATGATACATGTTATCACTTTTGGAAATATGTACGTGCATGTCCATATGAGAAGTTTAAGGTTTGATTATCTTACTAAAAATCAGAAATATCGGAGTTTTGCTTATTTCTTTTTCTTATATTTGATCGCGGAGTTTTTCATTGTCAAACAATGATTAATTTGATAAGAATGTATGCAAAATAAAGACATAAAGAAAGGAACTAGCTACTTATTACTCTCATTGTTTGGTCAGTACGCTTGTTCGCGTACTCCGGTACTGTAATTCTTTCCCGTACTAGATTCTACCATTGGATTCCGCTGCAGCGCGTTTTTAAATATAACCAAACTTGATTGTTTAAGATTGTTTAAAAAACATTGGTCTATTACATGATTACATTATCACAATATAGAACATAACAGTTACACTTTTTCGGGTAAAGAATTGTGATACAGAGCCAGTAAACTCCGGTATATGGAACAAATTTTTTGCTTCCATCATGCGGTTGGTGACACACAAATCAATGTTTGTGATACATAAAAATTTATATAAAAAAACCGTACAATTTGATTGTTCTCACTAATTCCAATCTTTAATATATAATCTTATTAGGCGGCGAAGCAAATATTTCCATTTTTCCTTTTTGGTCAAATATGGGGTTACCTGCCAAGAGTGTCTGTCCTGAATGTGATCAATGCTTGGTCACAGGCCACTGGTGTCAATCATGTCAAAGTCAACAGTTTCATGAAAACTCTGATAACTGGACCACTGGATTTGAAGAAATTGATAATTTTATTAAAGAAACTCAATTAAATGCTAAAGATTGCACTGAATATTTAGAATTTTTACCCTTCAAATCTTTTATTGGTATAAATAAATATGATACTTCCGGATTCGGAACCGTTTATACAGCTAATTGGAAAAAAGGTCCTAAAGATGCTTGGAGTGAACACGAGCATAAATATGTGGCTAGGAGAGATTTAATAAAAGTTGCCCTCATTTCCCTTGGCAAAGACCCTAAAATATTTTTAAGAGAGGTAAATTCATTTTTTATTTGATTTCAACTTTACAATCCTATTCAAACATTCTAAGTTTCTTTCTTATATATTCTTTTAGTTAAAATTAAATTATAATTTTCGCACAAAAAATGGTCTTATAATAAGGCTATTTGGTGTTACTCGAGAAACCGTCACAGGTCATCTGATGATGGTTGCCGAAACTTGTGAATGGGACTTAAGACATTATGTCTCTCATCATTTCGCTCGCCTAAGTTGGTCTCATAAAGTCGCCATTCTTCATTCTATCGCTTGTGCTCTTGAATCTTATCAACGTGGTGAACAGGTTCATCGTGATCACGTTTCAAATGTTCAGATATTTAAATCCCACCTAGAAATTCCTGTGAAAGAATTGGGTTTGGGGGATAACAAAGATCCAATTCCAATAGTCGGTTACTATAAAAATGACCTTTTGCCTTACATGGCTCCTGAAATTTTACAAAAGAAACCTTACTCTGTAAAATCGGACATTTATAGTTTTGGTATGCTAATGTGGGAATTATCGACAAACAAACCTCCATTTTACGATAAAACTCGTAATTCAAAACTAATAGATGATATTAGTCTTCATAATTTACGTCCTAAAAATGATTCTAATACACCTAAATGTTATATCGATTTAATGGAACGCTGTTGGTCTAATGATCCTAATAATCGTCCTGAAATTTCTGAAATCGTAAAAATCTTGAGTGATTGGCATTTATATAGTAAAAATTCTGATCAATTTACTGCTGCTGAACAAATTAGACTTAATAACATGAAAGCTAAAGGAATTGACACAACTCCCGGAAAAATGGTTTCCCCTCCGAAGATTCATCCGCAAGCTATATATACTAGTAGAAAGATTAAATTTCCCATACTTCCTTTGTCTGGTGTTAATGCTCAACGTATCAAACAATCTTATGACGCTTCAAACAAAAATTCAATTGATCTAGCATCTTTACTTGTTCGTGACGAAAGTTATTTTGTTAAAACGAGTAAGGCATTACAAACAAGAGAGTTGGAAGAGGAGGAAGTTGATGATGACCTCCTAAAGCAATACGAATTATCGATACCTTTTGACAGTAAGTTTCAATTTACAATTCTTTTTATTATATTACATCCGTTTTTAAACATTATATTAACAGAATTTCTTTTTGACATGCTAGATAATATAATGGTATCATCGTGACATTGCCCTTATTGACAAGTATTGTTAAATCAACCAAACAAGGACATTTTAATTTTAGATTTAAGTTTTGAACTTCTTTTAGTTTTTGTACTCTCTTGAGAGACATAATTAAGTATTCCCTTATCACCACTTTTAGACTGTAATAATATGCGAAAATTATATGCTATAATTAATTTGTAAATAACAATAATACAAATTAATAAAACACATTTATGATCAAGATTTAAAGCAATAAAATTTATTGCAAGCTTGTAAATGTATATCTAATTTGAATTATTCAAGTATGAGGTGAAATATACAATTTCAATTTTAATTGTTCAAAGAACCAGTTCAAATATATATACACTGTGCGTAATTTTAATAGCTAGGTTAATTCAAATACCAAAGTTTATTTAACGTATTATTTTCAGAGGAATTTATAAATAAGGGCCCAGAAATCAAAATAATTACAAATAGTAAAGTTATTACAGCCGCAACTCCCTAAGTGCATCCTGTCGGGACCATAGTGAAAGAATCAAAATTTTTACTTAGAGGGAGTTTGCACTTATAGAGAATAAAATATAAAGGGCTCTTATAAGTTGGAGCCAAACTGTATAGTGCATTTAAAATTAGCTGCGATACGTAAGTATCGAAGCAGCTTTTGTCTCGAATCATGTGCTATTCGATCGAACATGTAATAGGCCCTTTTACGGTCACATGTTCGATTGAGTGTTAGTTAATCGAACGAAAGTATGAGATAATTTGAGTTATTAGTAATGAGTTCATTTATCAGAGTTTGATCAATGTAAGTAGTTTGTTAGTAAGTTAGAGATAATTAAGTAATTATGAGGTAATGGAGTAATTATGAGGTAATTGAGTAATTATGAGGTAATTGGAGGGTAGTATATTAGAAAAACTTGGGAAAATAATAGAAGGTAACTTTGTCTTTTCTGCAAACCCGACTTTCATTCTGTTACTTCGAGCAAAATAATCTTAGTATTTCAGTTTATTATATTCAGTTTATTATATTCAGTTTATTGTTTTCAGTTTATTATGTTCAATAATTAGAGAAAAATAAAGTTACAGTTGATGAAGATTTGATTATACAGTCATCTAATGATCTTGAACCATCATGTAATCAAGTCAATTTTGAAGCAAATTTTGATTATTTATCACTTGAAATGTTAAAATTTTTCTGTCAAATGATGGGTATTTCAAATGTCAGTTTGAAACAGGATTTTTTGTAAAAGAAAAATCAATAAACTTGAAGAATAATGTAAGTGATACAGAGAGTTTTTTTCATATATGAGATTGTAAATACAATGTAGAAGGTTCAAATAATGATAGTCAGAAAGGAGAAGATTTAAGAGCAATGGTGTCAGATGTGTGTTAGTCATTACAGTTTCTTGGAGAGAAGAATAAGTTTGTATTTAATAGTGATAATGATGAGATGAGTTTATAAAAGAAATGAAATTTGTTAAAAGTAAGAAATCAATAGGAATTTAATAAATAGTATAAGGTTGGTTTATTGATGAATAAAGTTTTGATTATGGAAAATATAGATTATTTGTTGCTAGTCAGGCAAGTGATATTAAAAAGAGCATATATAATCAGAGTTGTTAATAAAGATGGATAGGATGTTGTTACAAAAATAATATTTAATAATATGATTAATTCTATATTGCAAATATTTAAAAGAAAGAAAAAGAGAATTAGGTTAGCAGTTCAAAATATTTTAAGAACAAAAAACTGAAGCTAGCTTAAGAAAAGAGTCAGAAAATAGATACTTAATAAAAAAATATTTTAAGTTTGTTTCTAAATTTGCATTAAGAATAACTTATTATATTAGTATTTTTTTAAATTTATTTTTCATTTTTATTGTCTTGGTAACAGTGGCCTAACTAACAGGTTTTGGTATTGTAATAAAATTTACTAAAAACTATCAAGCTGTAGCAAATTTTAAAGTAATGAGGGTTGAGTAGAAGATCTTTTATTTAAAGGAAAATAAAATAAAAGAAAAGAAGAAATATAAAAATAAATAAAATAACTAAAAACAACTAAAAATAAAGAATAAATATTTAAAAATGGAATTTAAATTCAATAGCCTCCTAGATACTATAAGGAG